CCTAAGAATACACAGCTCCCAAGCATTGCACAAGCTGATCTCGTTTTGAGGCTTTAAGATGTGCATATACAAATTTAAAAAGGCAGTTACAACAGAAATATTGGAACTGCTCTCGTCGTTATTGCTAGCAGCAGTTCTGCACATAATTTCCTCGTCAATCCCTCCTCAAACTTCCACTTAAAGGAACGATGTCCCCCAGGAATTAACAGTTAAAGCAAGATGCGTTTTTGAACGAACAATGTGATCTTTGTCAAGTGGCAACTATAATAAAATTCCAATAAGTGAGTATCAGTCCATACTTGTGGTTCACAGATTTCATCAAGATCTTCATCATCGTAATTCATAAGTGAACCAAGAAAACGATAATGAAATATGGATACTCAAACGGTTTATGCTGATCATCATGCAACCACAAGGTTCCATCCTGGTCTACTTTACGGAGATCGGATAGACTGGGGTGGGGCAGGCTTTCTGGCTCGGTTCCTCTTAAAGTCCTGTACAATGCTGCTGGACGTGACATGAAGAGCGGGTAGCAAATAAAATAAACAGTCTGGTCTATTCAAAGCTACTCAGTAGTCGCCATTTGCACGCTTGCTTATTATAATTGTTCTTTGACAACAACAACAGGATCGGTCATGCAGTTAAGCGTGGGTCTCTTGGCCGATAGAGTCTTAAAAGTAAAAGTAATCAGCAAAGGAAGAAAAACATCCATCCGATATCAACCGGCACCAACTATGGAATATATGGAAGCAGTATTTTCTGTCAAGGATGATCGCCTAATTGGTGTTAAATTATTATTTTTTCTGGAATGTATTATATTTAGAAATAGAGAATTGCATGGGGAGAGCACAGTGGGGATCTGCGAAACCAGAGGGGTTGAGCAGATCCTACATTTCAGCATTATATGATTAGACATATGGGTTACGTCCTCGCAAGGCCTATTTTCCGCTTGGAGACCTGGACATTCAAGCAAAACCAGTCAATTAAGCTAATTCACTTACTCCCTCGAGAGTCATCACAGACACCGACCGACCATTTAAAGGCGGCAGTAAGATAGTTCTGGTTCGGCATCTCTCTGTAAATCTACATCGATTCAATCTTAGAATTCGGACTGACTTTGTCACCAAAGTTGGAAACTTTCCCTCCCTTAAAGCCAACTGACCTCGAATAAAATAACCTAATGACTAATAGGCAGCCACACTGATTCGCTTACCTTTTCGGTTTCTATGATTCTAGCATAGAATTAAATGAATGGAGCGTGGAGTAGAGTAGTTGCAAAGTCTGGCTGTAAGGGGTACTCCAAATTACCACTGTCCTCAATTTGCTATCAATTATAATTGCACTGCCGAATCAACATTGGCTGTTTGTTATGCAAGTGAACTACACTCTGCACTTGCCGCAGGACCCTCCATTATATCCACGTCTTTAACGCAATTATAGCAAAGGAAAATCGAGTCTAGTGCTTTCACGCCCAATTAAACCTGGCACGTCAAAGTCCGCCAATATCACAACAAATAACCTAGGGCGTATCTCCTGAAAATGTAAATTCCTGCCCCCTATGACTGAGAGACAGTTGTGAAACCTACCGACTGTGTTGGAAATGATGCAGCTGATGAGAGGTTCGACTTTTGTCCAGCGTTGGACGATAATCAAATAACAGTCCGATATTGTCTTTCGTCCAGTTCTCCGGTCACGTTCACAATTCTAAAAGGTAAAATAGCCAACGATTACCTGATAGAACCTGTAAAAAAAGTAGGCTACTTCTCAGAGGACTGAGTTAAGCTAAAGTGATAAACAGTGAATATGATTAACTGTCAACGCTGGCCATATTTTTGACTTTAAGGTCCATTCCTGATGATAACAGGAAGAGAGGTAAATGGTGCAATGGTAGAGGAGTAAACTCAATGACCAAAGGTCCCGGGTTCGAAGCTCGGGGGTTCCCATCCTTAAAATTGGGTAGGACTGGCTGGTGATGGCTAACAAGCCAGAAATGGCCATTCCGGTCTCCCTTCGCTTTGTCGAATCCATTTCAGAGAGACAAATGTTTAAAAGAGTGTTCATTATGCTGCAGATGGAAGAAAACCTATGGTACGTTTGTACAAGTGTGTGGGCACTTTCTTTTTTCTTGGGTACATTTCTCCAAGATGAAAAGCTACCGAAGGGCTACGACCAACAGGTACGCTATCTGTGCTTTTTTGTGCATTAGAAATTGAAATTTTTACTCAATATCCACATTGCACAAACAACTTTAGATAAGTTTGCCTCATCTATGTCTGACACACTTAATGCTATTTTAAATGTTAATGGTAACTAGATACTGCATAGAAATTTTGTATTTTTACTTATTCTGTATTAATAAGCCATTATTTTACACCCTCCATGCCTTAAAAAACGTTCATATTTAACATTTGATCAGTGACTTGTGATATAGAGAGTACCTTAATTTCGAGTTTTTTTTGAAAATTATGCTAGTAAATAGTAATTTGTCAACCAACCTATGTCTTTTGTTTACTTATGGTTCTTAATATACTGTTATAATAGTTTGGGGGCACGCCGCATAGGCTGACTTCGCGCTACATGACATTTATTGCTTAATCCACCACATTTCATGAGATAGGCAATCTACTGTACATAGCTTAAAACCCATTCTCAAGGACCAAACCCCTCGGAGGCCTTAGGTGCTATTGTAGGAACCCAATGAATTCGCACCTCTTAAAAGTTAATGGCGACTCTACATGCCAACTCCAAAATTATTTCCGTTTCGGAACTAAACAGAATACTAAGTTAACTACTGGTATTACGTCGATTCGTCAACCCCCGAGGCTAGCTTTATGTCAACTTCAGACGCCATGGTTGGAGAGTTCAGTTTCGTGGTTTTCAAACGTTGATCCACGCGCGTTGCCTCCGGCGACACAGTCCATCGGCAGAAATCGTTCTCTGCCTGAGAACAACACGGTCAACAACCGATTAAGCGCTCAGTTCGAAACACACTCAAAGCTAATGACGGCATAATCGAATAATTCTACATCCGACTAGACCCCGACTAATAAACCCTTAAAACAATAGGGACAATCCTGTTAAACTTTGCATGTTGTATTAAAACCAGCGAAGCATCATCGCCAGGGGCATCTGCCGTCAAGTAGACAAGGCAGGAGACTGTGTAGGAATAACCTAAATGTATTCACTAATCAGGCTTTTTATCCATCGAGGACTAACGGCTGAAGTTTTAGAAGTAAATAATTTCTGTGGGTTACAAAATAAACTCCTTACTCCCATAGCACACCTAGATATTTAGCATACGAATCTTGTGTACACACGTCCCTGGCCGCGGACATCCAGATGTACAGTGAACAGTAACTATTATACCCGCACAACCACAGCGAAGGTGACTTAGATTTGAGGTTTGGAAAAATTAAAATATAAATTGGAGTCATTCCTGCGCCCTGACCCTTTTTGACTAAAGCCCCAGTTTATAATATATTAAAAATGCCTGATGAAAGTAATTTAACTAGTGACGGAATAGGAATGCGGACAAAACGAACACGAAATGCTTTCCCAAACTGGTCGGCAGAACCTAAGTCTACATTGAATTCTAACAACTGCATGCATATATACGGATAGTTAGTCGTCCAATCCGCGGTCTAAAACCACTTAAATATTTGCTGTTGTTTAACGATTAAAAAATTCCAAAGGAGCAAGAAATGCGTAGTTTGAAGTTTTTCAGCACTAAAAATATGCGCATGCCATGATTCAAATAAGTCATCACATTAGAGAAAATGTCATTATCTAGAAAAAGTGTGTCCATTATTGAATTCGAACTTCGGGTATTTGGCACCCTGTGTTATCGTTTTTAGACTCCACTTGGATATTAATGATAACTTAGTATAGGAGGCAGAGATCTTGGTTAAGTGAGTACAAACGACCTGTTTCGGTTTTCCTCGACTATATTGATACGAAGGAGGGCTATGAAGTATAATTTTCTCCTGCAACTGATTTGTCACACTTCCACATTCAGAGAAATCGAATCTTGATAGGGGAGTAATTTTCCTGAGCGAAGATAAACCAGATCTACCCACTGAGTACTTTTTGACGAGAAAAGTACTTTGTGGAATATTCTACGAAGTTTTTTCATATAACCAAATGGATATTATAAGGGCTAGGCATTTTAAATTGGAGTCACACAGCACAAAGCACCGTGCAGCGGATGACCAATTTGGCAAGCAGTTGAATCCTCAGGGCACTTTAGCCGGATTTTACTTTCGAGAGATTGACGGAGTGGGGTGACGACGACGGTTACATTCTGTCAGTTAATTAGGCATCATACTAGACTTTCGTTTAAAGAGTGAAAAGTGAATACAATCAAGAGGATCTGACGAGCAGAGCACAATTTAGCTACGTGGCCAAAGAGGTCTGATCACGTTGCTCCGAAAAAGAAAACAAAAACAAAGTTGTGAACTTGGTGTAAAATTAGACTTGACTGCGCGCTGCTGATATTCTAGGCAACATTTAAACCCTTATTATTCAGTCACAGAAGTTAAGTCTTGCTAAGGAGAGTTGGATAAAGCAGAGGTATATAAGGTATACTTACAGCGAGTGCTTCTGCGATGAACATATCCTTTCGGAGATTCGTTAGGCGATCGTTCAACGAGGATTGTACAAACATGAGTTGACCGTAGCACTCAATCAGGAGATTGATAGTTTCCGAGGTTAACTAGGATAAAATATTTCGCAAGTGGAAGAAAGTAAGTTTAATTAAGAAAATTCAAATTCGAGGTTCTTTTATAGTACAAAAATAGACTTTAATCCCAGACCAAATGGTGGTATGGAGAAGACGTGTGTCATGTACCTGGCAAAAACATTTGAGGTGATTTTTATCCTTGTCGGTTTTGCGTCTTAATTAGGCTCGTATGCTCTAAAATACCATATTAAAACTTCAGCCAAGGACGAAGTTGGACGGTTATTGAATGAAAATGTAAGACTGTCTGGTATCATCACACTATAAGCTGACCTAAGGGTTGGCTCTCAAACTAAGTCTTTATGACTTAATGTAATATGTATTCCACATTAAATGGTCACGTTTTAATCAAAAAAGTGAGGGACAATAAGTTGGACAAAGTAATCATAATCAAAGAGAAGGTCGCGTCTCTTATTAGTTGCTTTCGTCTCCTTTTAACATGAATGGCACACAAAGATTGGCAGTAATCTATCATTGTCAAATTACATTTTTGTGCATGCAGTGTATCTTGTCACTGCGAAGCCTACGTATGCATGTTGGTGTACCTGGCACTGATTCGTTAGTCTCTGGGCAAAAGATTCGCAAGTGTTCGACCGGGCCAATGCATATGGTTTCTGGGTCTTGGTAATATGCCAGGGCAGGTTATTACCTGTTCGGTTGGTCGCGATGGTAATGCTGTTTGTGCTGGCAACAATGGTGCAGGGTGAATTAATAGTGCTGTGGATAGGACAGTTTTCCAATGTGTAGGATGAGATTGGCATGTCAATGTAGCGGTGACTTCTGCTGCCGTTGGTTTTGTATATTTCAGGCCGAAAGCCGTCGTGTTCGGGTAAATGGCACAGTCGCTCGGTGGAGTTTTCGCTTGGTGATCTAGTCAGTCTAGTTTCAAACAGTTTATAGCCTATGTCTGAGACTGGATTTCGATTGGCAGATAACGATAGTCGGTCTTGCAGAGGGCAAATACAAATGTGTATTACATTTTGCGGACCTATTGCGTTGCCATTTTTTTCACCAACCTGAGCTCTAGGACTATGACAGATTTACTTACGCGACAAGCTAGGCTTTAGCAGATCTTTTTACCTTATTTCTATTGCCAGCAATGCATACGTCCTAGCACTGCACGGCGTTCCTACGTGGTTATTTTGCGTTTTAAATTTCGAGTCAGGAAGGACCTTCCGCCCCTATTCCAAACCTCTACCAACTATACTTCTTGCAAGCCTTCTACCCGCTGCAGAAATGCATTTACAATACGGCATCAGCCAGTAGTCTTCGTTGATGGCTTATGACGAAGCTGTCGGGGGGCGGTGGGGGGGAATAAAAGAACAGTGTTTATAATGAAGGAAACTAAAATGTCCGTTTTACTTACGGTCCCCAGCAAACACTGGCCTAGGTTCTCGATGATTTTGTCTTCACGTGCACAATGTTGACGGAGTAAGCTCGAGAAGAGGGCAGTATGCACTGTAATGAGCTGATCCAGGTGGGGGAAGAGATCAGCGTGGAAAGCGGAAACGTAGACATTTTGTCCAGTCAGACCTTTCACGTAAACCTCACGGATCATTGTGAGGGTGTGGAGATAGCGTTGTTCAGTAGACAGAAACTCTAGAAGCAGCAGAAAATAATAGTTTGTAAGGGAAGGGATGACAGCCTATGTGGGACTGACCAGCTGGATGGAGTGAAAACAAGGTAAATGCATTGAAACTTAGTAAGTGACAGAAATAGATTATCCCTCTTTAAAAGTGTTTGATTAAACGAAATTTTGAAAGGCATAGTTGGACATAACTGAAATTAAATGGACAAACTGTTTAAGTTAGTTTTTAGCAGACGATCCATTGTTTCAGAATTCTTGGAACGCCCTATAATATCTCCAGCAAACTTAAGTTAAATATATGACTCAGGCATGCATTAAAAAGTACGAGACTCAAAGGGAAGTAAAAACACAAGAGAAAGACCTAACGTTTCTAGAACATACGTGGATAATCAAATTAGGATATACTTGGTTGATGACGTCGATACCAATTAACAGAAAAATTCCGATTTATGTCAGGCTACCCAAATGACCTTGAAATTAAGTCTCATGGCCACAAATGCTGCAACTTCTCTTAATTGACCTTTTCGTGTAATGCTTGTTGAAGAATGTGAATCAAAATTTCATAAGTTTAACTTCTTTGAATAAGGTTTGACAGCAGTGTAATCTTGGAGGAGCTCTATATATGCTAATATATTTTTCAGCATTGCACCAAATGCTATAGCTGTTCGCAGGGGAACTACATTTTTGAGAAAGCTATTCTAACGGAATTCAATAAAATGAATTTTTCGTATTCTGTATTCATACACTAAGGCTCCAAATATCTACATCGGGGTTCGTCTACATATACGATGACGCAAACAAGAATTATTCATTATGAATTAACCACAAAGCAATCCTAAATACAACTACGGGTCCAATTTGAAGTTCACATCCTACAGACTCGGCACTTTGAAAATTCCCACGCCTTTTATGCGGACGGCCTTTTTCAGAAGGAGAATATTACCTGTTTCAACGGAGTGAAATACCTTGTGTGTTGCAATTCACGAAGCATCAGCCAACACTTTTCTCAAGATTAAAGAATATGAATTAATTCCCAAGAGGTTCCAACACTGAATAGCAGGGGAGATAATGAGCAATCAGCTGTTACACGGTATCGTGTCGATCTTTGTATGTACCACATTCTAGCCAGGTTTATCAGTTAATTTTGATATGCGTTGGTCTGCGAATGCTAAACGCATCCAAGCTTCTATGCTGCGCTATACAAAGGAAGAAAAATGAGGCTCATGCTCGGTTTTACATATTTTAACCTGAAGTGTGTTTTAAGCTTAAATAACTAACTAGCAATCGAATAGTTGGTGCACACCCGTTGTTCCCGTTCTCTTTTAGGATTCTTAAAGTACACGCTGTGCATAATTTCAGGTGATTCACATATGCCTATTTTTTTATTTAGATATATATTTTGTGTTCAGAAATGTAACGATATCTATGCAGCGGATTCTATACTTAAGTGAGAAACAGTAAATAACCTCCAGATGTTAACTTAACTGGATAGGCAAGTACGTATATCAATTTTTTTTCATAATTACGGAATAATTTCACATCAGAAATATGTCTATTCTTCCAGCATAATGTTTGAGGACATAAGTTTACATTAAATAGATGCGAAACTATTCCCTGATCCCTTCCAAAAATAAGATTATGTGGACATAAGGATAATAACCTAGGTGGAAGATAGGTAGCACGTAAACAGATATTTTCCTAAACGCAGTTAAAGCAGCAACCCGAAGGCAATATGAGCCAAATCAGTGTGCCGTTTGGTTTGGTTATCCTGTTTCCCGTGAATTCACTTAAGCGATTCCTTCGATTTGAATGTGCTTTTAAATTTTTCAGTTTCCATTACATAAATTTGTGTATAAAAACACACATTTCTTTGATTGAAGAAGATGTTCTTTGGGATAAAAAGTAACTTTAATGAGTGAATTTTTGAGTTTGGCGCCCCAACTCGTCTTCGGAATAACAGGAGAAGTGCAATGAACACCTACCAATCAAGTCTCACTCTATATAACTTCTGATTTTTATCGGAAGTCTTGAAATTTTAGTTGTTCATTGCACTTTTCCTGTTAGTCCAAAGACTACTTGAGGCGCCAAACTCGAAACCTCACTCATTAAATTTACTTTTTATCCGAAAGAACATCTTACTCAGATTAATTTTTCTTGGGATGCGTTTGTTCCAGTTTATACGAACACATTTCTGTTGTGGAACAGGACTTTGGTGTTGGCAAGGCAACCTTAGTACTCTGAATTGTGATTACTTGATGTAGCAAAAGTGTTAAATTACGAAATAGTAATTGGCAATTTCCATCCTCCAGAATGTTCGAAGAACATGAAATAATTCGCACCGATCAACTTCTACAAACAGCTTCATCAGTCCATAGGCATTTTCGCACTGTGCAAGTTCCCTGCTGTGTGCGTTCGACTCCCACCGAGGCCGCGAATTTTTCACAATTTGGCCAACTGACTAACCATATATAATAGCTCTGGCAAATCCCTATATAATAACTGTTTTTACGAACAGATTCTGCTCTCATGCGACTGGTGGTAGGTTAACCTACTTCGTAAACTGAAGAATGTCCGGCTGTGGGTTATTTTAAGCTGCTTAAAGATCTAAAAGGAGAGTAACTTAAATAGCTTTTTGAAGGTATATTTAGGCATCTGATGGATTGAAGACTCTATTTAAATGTACTGGACAGTGCACAAAAGAGTCCTACTTGCCAACAACATGGGCATTCGCGGGCCAAATATGGTTGTCTTTGTATGCGACATTTGGAACGCATGCGTGCGTTATGCAAGGCCTGCTTTGGACAGAGGTTGCCACTGACAGTCGCAATGTACTAGTCACCGTTGCTTCAATAACTTACACCTCTACGTTTTATATGTTAAACACTAGAGTTTCGAGCAACGCACAAATACTAGTTTGTGTACAGTGTCGGAATTCTGCTCACAGAACCGTATATTTTCTCTTAAGCAGACATAAAGGTGCACCGATTTTAACTACCTTCATCGGAACACACCATCGATGGAAAATGATAGCCGTTGCAAACGCCACCAACAGCGCCATTTTAGTCTAGAGAAGAAATCTGCCTACCAGTGGAGAGTTTTAGGAAATCAGTCATCGTCCTAAATCCATTAAAACTGAAGGTTTGTGTTTCTCTGGCAGTTACCAGGGGTGCTGCACAATTCGTTTCCTCCACTGAAGTCTGGTAAGACGGTGCCACCCGTGACTAACGCGATCGCATACGTGTTCCATAGGAATGAGAGCCGAGGACACTCCTGCGACTACACATATATTTTTTATGCCTTGTTTTATTCTGCTTATTCTATTCTACTTTATTCCAGTGAACGTTCCGCGACGCGGGCGGCGCTGGGCGATGGCAACAAAAACTTCTTTGAATATATCCCCCTTCACCATTCGCTATTGACACTCTGATTAAGAATTAGTCGGATGCGTCACCCATCAGTCCTCATTGCTTACTTCTGCATACATTAACATCTCCCCTCCTTGCTTCACCAACCAAGCCAACAATGGCCACGGGTGAACGCATAGTCATGCACTATTAAGTAGTAATGGGCTCATCTGTGATCACTCTTTAACATTTCATTGTTGATCACGTGTCCTTCTCTGTGTAAGCATGACAAGCCGCCTTAACCAGCAGGACACTGAGATAGGAACGTCCCCTCCACTGCTTACTACCGGCGGCGTTGCACCAACTTTCAGGAAGAGTAAATACTCCCATCTCCTAGACGTACTCACATCCTTTAACTCCAATCCTAGTTGCCCCCCGGTACTTAGCGCACGACCACCTGAATTACGGGTGTTTTCTACGCCCATATCCGACCGGAGGTTGGAGGATGGCCTACGAGCCTTCTTATTTAATAAAACTGAGTTCTGCACACAACAATCAGGGAGACTGGAAAGGGCTATTTCCTTCATATTTCCTTTAATCGTGCACCCGTACACTGCCGCCGGAAATTGGGGACAGAGCGATATGTATATTTAGCGTGACTTAATCCCCGGGCTTGCCCCTGCAGTCGGGTATACTGTACGATAGTCACTAGCACGAAAATATTAACAGGCTGGCTGCAGGCGGTAGGGCGGGGAAGTTACGACTTAAGATATTGCATTGCTTAGCAGACTTAATACGTTGGCTTAAAACCTCTCCTGCGTTCGGCTTTGGTTTTGGGTATGGTTGGTGCAAAAAATCAACAAATATTAATTCCATCATTCCTAGACCCCAAGAGACGAACTTGCTGCCTGCTGACGGCTCATCGCAGTGCAACTTAAGCATTATCTCAAACGGAAGTTCTAAACCAAAATGCAGCGAACATATTCAGTGTACCGTCAGCTAGGAGTTGTGAAGGCTACGCTCACGTGACATTGAAAAAAATAAAGGAAAAGGCGTGGTACTGCCAACTGTGCTTGCTCGAGTACTGGATGGGAGCTCATTTCTGATCGTCTTTGTGTTTGTTTGAGAAACAAATAGAAAGGATCAAGTAGCCTATGTCAACTTCTAGCGGTAACATGATAGTCACATAAACCGCTCGCTGACAAAAACATTTACGGTGGTGCCACCTCTATCAAGGCTTACCGTTTGAATGCTTTTTGAACGTTTATTCCTGCTTTGTAAAACCCACCACGGCTGGGAAACAACAAACAAGCTGGGAACTCTAGCTATAACATATTGTTTTCTAGCTTATAGAAGGGTGGACAATTTTGTCCCTCTTTAAAGTAACTGAGAATTTTCGAAGCCACATGTTGTTAGCTAGAAGCCCCAACACGCATGCTTCAAAGACCTTGTGCTTCCGTACGACGCTGCTGCAAGGGGTTCAGGTTATCACTGGGTCCCCCAGCGTTGCATGTATTACTGTGGTAAATTATCTACTTATATACTACTGCCTGTTAGTTGCCAACGTGTGAATAATACGTGGTTGAACCACGATAGCTGATATATTTCAGCTCAAATACTCAAATC